TTCTAATTCTGCCTGTATATCCATCCATCTATCTTCTAATGCTGCCTGTATATCCATCCATCTATCTTCTAATGCTGCCTGTATATCCATCCATCTATCTTCTAATGCTGCCTGTATATCCATCCATCTTCTAATTCTGCCTGTATATCCATCCATCTATCTTCTAATTCTGCCTGTATATCCATCCATCTATCTTCTAATTCTCTCTGTATATCCATCCATCTATCTTCTAATTCTCTCTGTATATCCATCCATCTATCTTCTAATTCTCTCTGTATATCCATCCATCTATCTTCTAATTCTCTCTGTATATCCATCCATCTATCTTCTAATTCTCTCTGTATATCCATCCATCTATCTTCTAATTCTCTCTGTATATCCATCCATCTATCTTCTAATTCTCTCTGTATATCCATCCATCTATCTTCTAATTCTCTCTGTATATCCATCCATCTATCTTCTAATTCTCTCTGTATATCCATCCATCTATCTTCTAATTCTCTCTGTATATCCATCCATCTATCTTCTAATTCTCTCTGTATATCCATCCATCTATCTTCTAATTCTCTCTGTATATCCATCCATCTATCTTCTAATTCTCTCTATATCTATCCATCTATCTTCTAATTTTCTCTGTATATCCATCCATCTATCTTCTAATTCTCTCTGTATATCTATCCATCTATCTTCTAATTTTCTCTGTATATCCATCCATCTATCTTCTAATTCTCTCTGTATATCCATCCATCTATCTTCTAATTCTCTCTGTATATCCATCCATCTATCTTCTAATTCTGTCTGTATATCCATCCATCTATCTTCTAATTCTGTCTGTATATCCATCCATCTATCTTCTAATTCTGTCTGTATATCCATCCATCTATCTTCTAATTCTGTCTGTATATCCATCCATCTATCTTCTAATTCTGTCTGTATATCCATCCATCTATCTTCTAATTCTGTCTGTATATCCATCCATCCATCCATCTTCTAATTCTGTCTGTATATCCATCCATCCATCCATCTTCTAATTCTGTCTGTATATCCATCCATCCATCCATCTTCTAATTCTGTCTGTATATCCATCCATCCATCCATCTTCTAATTCTGTCTGTATATCCATCCATCCATCCATCTTCTAATTCTGTCTGTATATCCATCCATCTTCTAATTCTGTCTGTATATCCATCCATCCATCCATCTTCTAATTATGTCTGTATATCCATCCATCTTCTAATTATGTCTGTATATCCATCCATCCATCTTCTAATTATGTCTGTATATCCATCCATCCATCTTCTAATTATGTCTGTATATCCATCCATCCATCTTCTAATTATGTCTGTATATCCATCCATCCATCTTCTAATTATGTCTGTATATCCATCCATCCATCTTCTAATTATGTCTGTATATCCATCCATCCATCTTCTAATTATGTCTGTATATCCATCCATCCATCTTCTAATCCTGTCTGTCTATCCATCTATCTTCTAATCCTGTCTGTCTATCCATCTATCTTCTAATCCTGTCTGTCTATCCATCTATCTTCTAATCCTGTCTGTCTATCCATCCATCTTCTAATCCTGCCTGTATATCCATCCATCTTCTAATCCTGCCTGTATATCCATCTATCTTCTAATCCTGCCTGTATATCCATCTATCTTCTAATCCTGTCTGTATATCCATCTATCTTCTAATTCTGTCTGTATATCCATCTATCTTCTAATCCTGTCTGTATATCCATCTATCTTCTAATTCTGTCTGTATATCCATCTATCTTCTAATTCTGTCTGTGTATCCATCTATCTTCTAATTCTGTCTGTGTATCCATCTATCTATCTTCTAATTCTGTCTGTATATCCATCTATCTATCTTCTAATTCTGTCTGTATAACCATCTATCTATCTTCTAATTCTGTCTGTCTATCCATCTATCTATCTTCTAATTCTGTCTGTCTATCCATCTATCTATCTTCTAATTCTGTCTGTATATCCATCTATCTATCTTCTAATTCTGTCTGTATATCCATCTATCTATCTTCTAATTCTGTCTGTCTATCCATCTATCTATCTTCTAATTCTGTCTGTATATCCATCTATCTATCTTCTAATTCTGTCTGTATATCCATCTATCTATCTTCTAATTCTGTCTGTATATCCATCTATCTTCTAATTCTGTCTGTATATCCATCCATCTATCTTCTAATTCTGTCTGTATATCCATCTATCTATCTTCTAATTCTGTCTGTATATCCATCTATCTTCTAATTCTGTCTGTATATCCATCCATCTATCTTCTAATTCTCTCTGTATATCCATCTATCTTCTAATTCTCTCTGTATATCCATCTATCTTCAATGTCTACACTGACAACAGGAAACCAGTTCAACTATTTATAAAAAGCAGGCAATAAATAACTGGACAAACCAGCGTGTTCTGGCTATTTATTTCTGTTAATGTGATATTCTAAATATGCACGAGAAAAAAATATACATAGGGTCATAACAAACATCAGACTCCATGCAGGGCCACACATGACCTTCATGAAACTTTTATATAAGTAAACCGTTCCAACCAATGTAATTAAAGGTTAATAATATAATCAAGGTACTCAATATTAGTTTTTTGCCAATGTGTTAATATATAAATAACGTAGACACAGACACACCCTGCCTGGACTAAGCATGAACCCACACACAAGTAATGATGTTAGTAAGTACTCTACAGTATAGCTGTTAGTAAGTACTCTACAGTATAGCTGAAGAGTTTGATTGCTGCAATGGTAGGAGAGGAGAACATTGCATGTCACAACCAAAACACAAGAGAAAATGCCATAGAAACACCAACAACTAGACTAAGATTTAACACAACAACAACTAGACTAAGATTTAACACAACTGCCATGTTTCTATAATAGCAAATGTCAAAATGAGATGACTGGTAAATATATGAATGTCGAAACATAAAGTATATATAAACTTAACACAATTACAACAAACAAAAGACATTTTAATTTAAATATTGTAACTAGTTCTGTAATTGAGGTATAATTAATGTTTTGTCTGTCTTCTGTAGCAATGGAAGAAATAGATTCTGTCTGATGAGTTACCCTCTAAACCTAAGGCTGGTTAAACTCCATGATGTCCTCTAGACACAGGGCTGCTGTTTAAAGTCATAATGCCCTATATGCCCTGGGTGTATTAAACTCTTGGTGGCCTTTACACCCTAGGTTAGTTAATGCCCTTCCTTTGACACTCTCTTTATGCCTAAGATCACAAATACTGAGGTATTGGACAGAGAAAGTATTTTAAAAAATCTTCTCAATGCTCAGTCTATGAAGGAAAGAGAAAGTATTACAAGTCTTCTCAATGCTCAGTCTATGAAGGAAAGAGAAAGTATTACAAAAGTCTTCTCAATGCTCAGTCTATGAAGGAAAGAGAAAGTATTACAAGTCTTCTCAATGCTCAGTCTATGAAGGAAAGAGAAAGTATTACAAAAGTCTTTTCAGTGCTCAGTCTATGAAAGAAAGAGAAAGTATTACAAGTCTTCTCAATGCTCAGTCTATGAAGGAAAGAGAAAGTATTACAAGTCTTCTCAATGCTCAGTCTATGAAAGAAAGAGAAAGTATTACAAGTCTTCTCAGTGCTCAGTCTATGAAAGAAAGAGAAAGTATTACAAGTCTTCTCAATGCTCAGTCTATGAAGGAAAGAGAAAGTATTAGAAGTCTTCTCAGTGCTCAGTCTATGAAGGAAAGAGAAAGTATTACAAGTCTTCTCAATGCTTAGTCTATGAAGGAAAGAGAAAGTATTACAAGTCTTCTCAATGCTCAGTCTATGAAGGAAAGAGAAAGTATTACAAGTCTTCTCAATGCTCAGTCTATGAAGGAAAGAGAAAGTATTACAAAAGTCTTTTCAATGCTCAGTCTATGAAGGAAAGAGAAAGTATTTCAAAAGTCTTCTCAATGCTCAGTCTATGAAGGAAAGAGAAAGTATTACAAAAGTCTTTTCAATGCTCAGTCTATGAAGGAAAGAGAAAGTATTACAAAAGTCTTTTCAATGCTCAGTCTATGAAGGAAAGAGAAAGTATTACAAGTCTTCTCAATGCTCAGTCTATGAAGGAAAGAAAAAGTATTACAAGTATTCTCAGTGCTCAGTCTATGAAAGAAAGAGAAAGTATTACAAGTCTTCTCAATGCTCAGTATATGAAGGAAAGAGAAAGTATTACAAGTCTTCTCAATGCTCAGTCTATGAAAGAAAGAGAAAGTATTACAAAAGTCTTCTCAATGCTCAGTCTATGAAGGAAAGAGAAAGTATTACAAAAGTCTTCTCAGTGCTCAGTCTATGAAGGAAAGAGAAAGTATTACAAAAGTCTTCTCAATGCTCAGTCTATGAAAGAAAGAGAAAGTATTACAAAAGTCTTCTCAATGCTCAGTCTATGAAGGAAAGAGAAAGTATTTCAAAAGTCTTCTCAATGCTCAGTCTATGAAGGAAAGAGAAAGTATTACAAGTCTTCTCAGTGCTGACTCTATGAAGGAAAGAGAAAGTATTACAAGTCTTCTCAATGCTCAGTCTATGAAGGAAAGAGAAAGTATTACAAGTCTTCTCAATGCTCAGTCTATGAAGGAAAGAGAAAGTATTACAAAAGTCTTCTCAATGCTCAGTCTATGAAGGAAAGAGAAAGTATTACAAAAGTCTTCTCAATGCTCAGTCTATGAAGGAAAGAGAAAGTATTACAAAAGTCTTCTCAATGCTTAGTCTACGAAGGCTCAGGTGGCTGGGTCACACCTAGAGAATGGAGGATGGCAGAGTCCCTAAGGAGATAGACTGTTGGAAACAAAATGCCATGGACGGTGCTGGGTGGTGTGTGGGGGTAGGAAGGTAATGAAAATAAGCTGAGCATCTGAGAAGAAGCTTACTATGGCAAGAACAATGCTCTAATTGTGGGAGACTTTTCTTAACAAGGGCGGGTCTTGATAGTTACACTGGCAATCACCATGGGATGCAAGTCCCATGCAATAACACTGACAGTCACCATGGGATGCAAGTCCCATGCAATAACACTGGCAATCACCATGGGATGCAAGTCCCATGCAATAACACTGGCAATCACCATGGGATGCAAGTCCCATGCAATAACACTGACAGTCACCATGGGATGCAAGTCCCATGCAATAACACTGGCAATCACCATGGGATGCAAGTCCCATGCAATAACACTGACAGTCACCATGGGATGCAAGTCCCATGCAATAACACTGGCAATCACCATGGGATGCAAGTCCCATGCAATAACACTGACAGTCACCATGGGATGCAAGTCCCATGCAATAACACTGACAGTCACCATGGGATGCAAGTCCCATGCCTCCTTATAACACTATCATCTGGAAAGACGGTAAGGTGCCAACAAACAAGGTGTTGCTATGAAACCTATGTGTGCAAAGGTTAATTACATCAAAAACAGAAAGGCTAACTACTAGATTAAAGAGTCTTACAGGGTCCAACAGCAAAGTTAACAAGGGCACAGACAGTCTTACAGGGTCAAACAGCAACATTATTAGGGGCGCAGAACAAACAACCATAAAGGTTCAAACAGCAATATTATCAAGGGCATAGAACAAAGTCTTTCACAGGGATGATTAATAATCAAGATGAGCAAAAACAAATTCTTGGAGTCACAACTCATACAGAGCTTTACTGCAGACAGATATAGCCCCTACAGAGCCATACTGCCAACAGAAACAGCACCTACAGAGCCGTGCAGCAAACAGAAACAGCACCTACAGAGTAGTGCAGCAAACAGAAACAGCACCTACAGAGTAGTGCAGCAAACAGAAACAGTGCCTACAGAGCAGTGCAGCAAACAGAAACAGCACCTACAGAGTAGTGCAGCAAACAGAAACAGCACCTACAGAGCCGTGCAGCAAACAGAAACAGCACCTACAGAGCTGTACAGCAAACAGAAACAGCACCTACAGAGCTGTACAGCAAACAGAAACAGCACCTACAGAGCCATACAGCAAACAGAAACAGCACCTACAGAGCCATACAGCAAACAGAAACAGCACCTACAGAGCCATACAGCAAACAGAAACAGCACCTACAGAGCCGTACAGCAAACAAAAAGTACCTACAGAGCTGTGCAGCAAACAGAAACAAGGACAACGGAGAAACAAATCAGACTGATGGATGCAGACATGTTTACAGATCATGGCATGAGAAATATCCAAAAGTAAAAATCAACCAATGAAAAATTCTTGTCCACAAACTATTCGTTCAGCTGAGTTTAAGTAATAACTAACACAACAGCGCTCGAAACATTCTGTTAGCGCTCTGTTGTTTCTCAAGATCACTTTCTGATTATTTAAGCAATCAAATCTGCTCACTAAAGAAATAATCTCCCATTAGTTCACAAACAGAATACAAACTACACATTTGTAAGTAACAGTTGAAACAGTGCCTGTGCACATTGCCTCTGCATCAAATCACATGAAAATGATAGGTAACTGAACAAATAGAACATTAAAAAAAAAGAAAAGGCATAATATCAATTCACTAGGCATCTGCCAATGAAACACAAACAGTGGGTCATGAACTCTGATTAAACCAGGAGAGTTACATTTCCCTTCCTAGCACGATGAAATATCTCACTGTGACTCAGATTGTATGTGGATGCTAGGTGTTGGTTCCTGATTATCACTTAATCAAAATGGGACAGACTTATAGTCTTCTTCTTCCTCATTGTTTTTTCTTCTCCCTTCTGAACCTCTTCGACTTTGATCCCTGAGGGCCTGGTCTCAGCTCTCAACACAGAGAACCAAACTGCTATACATGTACCTGTTTTCAAACAGTGACCAATCTGGAGAGCACATTCACCAGTTTGGGCAGCTTTCGTGCTGTACAGATGGGCTGGTATTCAATGGTGTTCTGGGCAGAATTTAACCAATCTGTGACCTGTCATTTATTTAGAGTCATAACTTATAATGCGATATTGTCGAGTAACTGCAGTGTTATCTGGATGAATGTGTTTAGAATGTCTCAGATGTCACTTTGTTGTTTTGTTTGGTGTGTATCTCAGCAAAAGCCCAGGTAATCCAGCTGGCAGGATATGTGGTCCTCTGTCCTAATCAAGGTTACACAACTGTCTGTCCTCTGTCCTAATCAAGGTTACTCAACTGTCTGTCCTCTGTCCTAATCAAGGTTACTCAACTGTCTGTCCTCTGTCCTAATCAAGGTTACTCAACTGTCTGTCCTCTGCCCTAATCAAGGTTACACAACTGTCTGCCCTCTGTCCTAATCAAGGTTACACAACTGTCTGTCCTCTGTTCTAATCAAGGTTACACAACTGTCTGTCCTCTGTTCTAATCAAGGTTACACAACTGTCTATCCTCTGTCCTAATCAAGGTTACACAATTGTCTGCCCTCTGTCCTAATGAAGGTGACACAATTGTCTGCCCTCTGTCCTAATGAAGGTGACACAATTGTCTGCCCTCTGTCCTAATCAAGGTGACACAACTGTCTGTCCTCTGTCCTAATCAAGGTGACACAACTGTCTGTCCTCTGTCCTAATGAAGGTGACACAACTGTCTGTTCTCTGTCCTAATGAAGGTGACAACTGTCTGTTCTCTGTCCTAATGAAGGTGACACAACTGTCTGTTCTCTGTCCTAATGAAGGTGACACAACTGTCTGTTCTCTGTCCTAATGAAGGTGACACAACTGTCTGTTCTCTGTCCTAATCAAGGTGACACAACTGTCTGTTCTCTGTCCTAATGAAGGTGACACAATTGTCTGTCCTCTGTCCTAATCAAGGTGACACAATTGTCTGTCCTCTGTCCTAATCAAGGTGACACAATTGTCTGCCCTCTGTCCTAATGAAGGTGACACAATTGTCTGCCCTCTGTCCTAATGAAGGTGACACAATTGTCTGCCCTCTGTCCTAATCAAGGTGACACAACTGTCTGTCCTCTGTCCTAATCAAGGTGACACAACTGTCTGTTCTCTGTCCTAATGAAGGTGACACAACTGTCTGTTCTCTGTCCTAATGAAGGTGACAACTGTCTGTTCTCTGTCCTAATGAAGGTGACACAACTGTCTGTTCTCTGTCCTAATGAAGGTGACACAACTGTCTGTTCTCTGTCCTAATGAAGGTGACACAACTGTCTGTTCTCTGTCCTAATGAAGGTGACACAACTGTCTGTTCTCTGTCCTAATCAAGGTTACACAACTGTCTGTTCTCTGTCCTAATGAAGGTGACACAATTGTCTGTCCTCTGTCCTAATCAAGGTGACACAATTGTCTGTCCTCTGTCCTAATCAAGGTGACACAATTGTATGTCCTCTGTCCTAATCAGGGTGACACAATTGTATGTCCTCTGTCCTAATCAGGGTTACTCAACTGTCTGTCCTCTGCCCTAATCAAGGTTACACAACTGTCTGTCCTCTGTTCTAATCAAGGTTACACAACTGTCTGTCCTCTGTTCTAATCAAGGTTACACAACTGTCTGTCCTCTGTCCTAATCAAGGTTACACAACTGTCTATCCTCTGTCCTAATCAAGGTTACACAACTGTCTGTCCTCTGTCCTAATCAAGGCTACACAACTGTCTGTCCTCTGTTCTAACTATTCTCCTTCAACTGTGTCTGTCCTCGGCTATTCACTTCCCTGCAACATTTGACAATTCTTTGCAAGCCTGAACAATAACTATTTATTTATTGTTCTCTTCATTACTTGCTAATGATTTTGTTTTCTATAATTGATCTGCATTTTATCAGACTACATCTGTCAAACACACAGGACTTAACTAACACTCAAAAGTTTGCAAGAAAATGATCATTACTTCTACACACAGTACAACTATCGTGGATATAAACAGTTTCATTTGACAAAATCTGTTAGGTCTCATTTGTTACTGTTATGGTGCAGATACTGATACACTGATGATACCATGGGTGTGGGGGCGAAGTGTCCTATGTTTGTAGTTCCTGGAGAATCGAACACAAGCTTCCTGGGTGATTGCAGGAATATCGGTCAAGGCTAGAAATGTGAGGTTCCTGAACGTGGCTAATGAGTCCAGGCATCGTTCTGTCAACTGTACACATTTAACCAGTCGAATCTCTCGGAGGTGACATGATGCTCCTAACTGAACCAGTGCTCGTATACCTCTGTCAGTTACCCGCATGCAGCAAGTCAGGTCCAATGCCGTGAGTTTGCGCAGATGGGTTGCTATGATTTCCAGGCTCTGATCATTGATGTCTGTTCCCATGAGACTCAGTCTCTCCAGCCGAGAGAGACGGGAAATGTTGCGCTGGCCAGGTTTCAGATTGACAGGTGGGGAAGCAAGCTCCCTGAAGCATAAATCTCGAATTCCTGTTGCCCAGCTCAGATCTAAAGATCTTAAGAGTGGACAGTCTGAAGAACACAGAGCGCAGATGGAAGCCCAGGAGAGATTGGACAAGTCTAGGTGTCGCAGTCCAGGTAGTCGAGCAATCAGCCAGGACAACTGGGCATATGATATAACTGAAGATGCCAGTTTGAGAGACCTCGGTTGACGCAGCATGACCCCCTTCAGGTGAGCCTGCTTGACTTTCTTTAGAGAGAGATCAATACGATACCACAACAATGGATTCAAAACCCAACAGTCAAAGGTTCGGCAAACAGCTGATATACGTGCAAGGTCAGCTTGTGGGAGATATCGGAATATTGCAGTCCACAGTTTTTGCGGTAACGGGTGAGGGGAATCATTGCTCATGGTCACAACCTGTGGGATGTTAGAAACAGGGGCTGGTCGTACAACGTAATTCTTTAGAGGAACCTTGGGGGCATAATCTGTGCCCTTTCGTAAAATCTCAGAAGGTGGATTAGGAGTATTACCATCACCTCCAGCTTTGTTGGAATCTTCTTGTTTGATTTCTTCTTTGATATTTGTAGACAGAGCACCACAGAGCTGACGGAGTTGTGTGACTTCACTGGCAGGTGCTCCTGCTGTTACAGGCAAGGCAGACGACAGGGCAGCCACAACACCTGGTGTGTGTGTTGATGACAGCATTGATGATGAAGAAGACACTGGGACAAATGGAGGTTGCAACACCGACCCCTCTATGCCGTAACGAACAACATCACCTTTAGACGACTGCAAACTCTCAAATTTGACTTTGGACTTCTTAGGGTGACCTCCAGTGAGGTTGCTGTGATGCTCCTCCGATGACTGCTGCCCAGCTTCCTCCTTCAACTGTTGGCCTCCTGCCCCATCGCCAGCAACACTCACATGACCCTGGGAAGGGAGGGAAAAACTGGTTCCAAGCATGAGTTTACTTAAGTTCACCTAGCAACATCAAACCACAACAAAAGATGTTTAAAAACAAAAAACAGTAAAAGTCCCATTTTTATGCCTTAGGGTATACAATGCTTACCTCATTTTTGTCTGCATCAAATGAGGATCTGATCAGTATTAAACTGGCCACCTACACTTACAGAATGATTCCCTGAACACAAACTGTTCATCTCCGGCCATCAATTAGAAATATCTACATTGACACAAAATGCCTTGCAGAGATTTGACAAGAATTATGACGGTAAACGTGGCCTTCAGCAAGATACCGATAAAATATGTCAATTGCAGTGAGAACAAGAGTGGATAACAACCAGACAAGCTCAAAACAATTATTTCCAGGATAGAGACGGAGTTTGCAAGAAGGCAAAATCAGTGAATAATAGAAGAACAAACATGGTTGTCCCTCAAGATAGATAAAAGATGTGAACTAAAGAGAAAAACTGAACCTAGACAGTCTGTGTGTGTGTGGGACAAGGTACGAGACCCGAGAACTTAGTAACGACCTGCAAGACTGATGGGAAAACAGCAACCGAAAGACAAACAGCTTATTATCTGAACGACTTTGCCATGTGGATAGGATGAGATGAGAACAATGACTTGATTGCTGATTCTGGTGATCATGTGGATGGGGTGAGATGAGAACAATGACTTGATTGCTGATTCTGGTGATCATGTGGATGGGGTGAGATGAGAACAATGACCTGATTGCTGATCCTGGTGATCATGTGGAATGGTGAATCTTGACAGCTTAGACTTACCAGGGAAGTGTATGATGATGATGATGACAAATGTTCCATTTAATCTGCATGAAATCACATCTGTACAGCCCTGCAGTGCAGTTTTAGGCTCAGGTTATAAGCAGATATTCAGTGATAACACTGTCCACATAGTGCGGCTGATGTGCCAATAAATGACAGTGGGACAGGCATAAACAAGGAAAGGGGTGTCAGCATGGTAAACCCGTATTTAGCACCCTCCCCCCCCCCCCTCATTATCCAGACTTGCATCACTGGTCTTAGTTCTCACATGTCAAAGCAGCCAATTCTATCCCTTCTCTGTGTTTTTAAGTCTCATTCTTTCCCTCTCTCTTGCATGCTGTATGCTCCAGGACAAGAACATTGTAGTTATTAGGAATAAGTGGCCTATCCACTACCAGCATCTTTTCCTCATCTTAGCTGGAATGTGCTAATTTCTCTTGCTAAACAGTATTAGTAAAACTGTTATCCCATTCAGTCTCTTTTATTGCATGCCAGCTAATGAAAAATACATTAGAAATTAATATATACTTCGTCTTCTACAGTCTTTATCCGAAGACATAAATGCATTCTGCCCATTCACAACTTGGCTGCGACATTTGTGCTTTTTGGCTGATACATCTTCTTTTTCTTCTTCACCGGTTGTGAACTCCGGCGGAAAGTTCTTGTTGTTTGTCCACTTCTGACTGCAGTCCTGTTCCAGAACCTGAGTGTTGCATGTGCATCCATTTGGCAGATCTGTATGCAGACTGTTGGTTCCTTGCCTCTCAGGCAGATGCACTCCGACTTCGAAGGAAGCTCCCAATTAGTCGACTCTTACGATATGCTTTTGGGTAGGCAGTGGGTCTATTCTTGTTTTTTTTAATAGTAGGGCCCCGGAACCCACACGGGGGGCTGATACATCTGACTTCTGTAGGCATTTGTTGCCCGGGTTAGCCTTCCCAGAATCAATATATACAAGGATGGCCAAAACTGTATGCTCATGGAGTAAATAAGAGATCTGGGATACTGTCTTCCACGACTTCTTTATGACAAATGGAAGACAAGCTCAGTCATCAGTGTGACCTTAAACAAACAAACAACAACAACAACAAAAGCAGGTGATGCAATAATCCATAATAGTGTTGAAATCCATTATTTACTATGTGGTTCAAAATGAATCACTGTATACATCAATATTTGACTCTACTGTTAAAGAGGGTGAGGGCGATTAATTCAACTGGCTATTAAAACAATATAAACATTACAATTTAATGAAGGGGGAAGATAAATCTTTAATCTAGACAAAACAAAACAAAGAACTGATAGGAGTAAATCATAAATACTCTAACATACACGGCAAAATACTGGCCTTGCAACTTTTAAGAGTTAATAATTAAAATAAATAAATGTGTTAGAAAAATTTTTGATAATCTTTAACAATAACAGTAACAACACATGAAATTAATCAAGAAAATAGAGAATATCTTATAGCTATAGAATCTAGTTACTTGACAACTAAATGTCATCAGTTACATGTGATCTCTAACAATTCAGAGACACAAATTGGTCACCATGGATATCAGGTTTCTAAGGAACACTGCTGAAGGTCAAGGGTCAGCACAGACACAATGAATAACATAAAGACAAATAAAATGGTTTGGCCACTCACAAATAACACCTTTCCAGGTATATACCAAAAGAGAAGAGAGAGGTAGAGCCTTTGACAGAACCAGAACAAAGTCGGAAGATCACATCAAAGACTTAACAACAGCAGCAAGAGTTTATGGTGAAGGCAGTCAGAAAATGAGAATTAGAATACTGTCTCTCCTTCGGCATGCGGAGCAGTCAAAGAGGAAGTGAACAATAAGAACAAACACTAGACCTGATATGCTACGCACACACACACACAAGGCTTATTTATACATACAAGACTTATTTATACACACAAGGCTTATTTATACACACAAGGCTTATTTATACACACAAGGCTTACTTATACACACAAGGCTTATTTATACACACAAGGCTTATTTATACACACAAGGCTTATTTATACACACAAGGCTTACTTATACACACAAGGCTTATTTATACACACAAGGCTTATTTATACACACAAGGCTTATTTATACACACAAGGCTTACTTATACACACAAGGCTTATTTATACACACAAGGCTTATTTATACACACAAGGCTTATTTATACACACAAGGCTTATTTATATCATTTATTTACAATTTATACATACACTGTTGGCATTTTATTTGGAACATATTTTTTTCAGTGGCAGATTTTTATTTTTATGTATATATTTTATATTTCTATACTTTTTAAATACTGATTTTATGAAGGACACTTCTAAATTTAAATAATGACCTGACAAGAAATGTTAACAGTACCATACAAATGTGTATCATGATTCTATAGACATTCTGCTGAACTCAATGTTAAAATTAATAAAGAACAAAACAAGAACAAACAGCATTAGGCCAATAAAAGCTTACAGAACATCCATGCTGGCAAATCTACTTAAGCCTGCAGTAAGAATACAGTCATTTTAAATGTATGTCTGCCTAACTCTTTCTGACAACAGTAACTGCTGTTTCAAAATAACAAACCTAAATTTAGAAATTGCAAACTTAATTTAAAAATAACAAACCTGGATTTCACAATAACAAACCTAAATTTCACAATAACAAACCTAAATTTCACAATAACAAACCTAAATTTCAACAGCAACAAAAAAAAAAAAACTGAATTAGTTGTTAATATAATTTTCCCAGATAAAGCTGGAGTTGTAAGTCAGATAAAAATATTGAACATAAAATAAGTCATTGAGAAATATTTCGGGAAACAACTCAGAAGTATTGAACTCATCAACTAGAACACAGTGAGTGCAGGTAATCATTACCTGGAGTGAAACAACAACCAAAACACAAATTGAAGTAAATGATCCCTTTTTTTAATAAGTTAAATTCTTTTTTTTTTCTATCAGTTAAATTATTTTTTTTTATCAACTAAATTCCCTTTTTTAAATTGGTTAAACTCCTTTTTCTATCAAATGGGGTAAATGGATCTGGGGCAGCAGTTCTCCCTTGCCGGCGATATCATGTGTTCTATATTCCCGCATATGACAACAACAGGTAAAATACGTTGTGTCACTAAGCGTGACACCCCCGCAACATGGGACAGGTCCTACAACATGACCAGGAATGAATGGCAAGGGAAGTCACTGTCTTTCTGGGCTTGACTTCGTGGGTTGTTCCAACTAAATTATCAACACAATGTATTCCAATTATACTCTATAGGCCAAATATGTTTTATTTTTATTTTAAACGTTAAAACAAAAACCGAATGCAAAATTGCAATAAAACAGTATTTCATTTTTTTAAGTGGATTTTGTGCTGGGAATAAGTTTCCATATTTCTTGGAATTAACTAAATAAACAGAAATAGAACATGAGATAACTGAAATGAGGCTGTATATCCTTACTTTCTCTTCTTTGTTCCCCCTTAAAATGGTGGTTGGCATATGTGTTGTAGTTGACAGCCAGGCTGTGTTCATTTCAGCACAACATATCCAACTTTAGTGAGCTGCTATTAGGGCCTTTTTACCGCAGGCTTATTAAGTGGTAGTGGGGCTAGTCCCCAGCGGCAGAGGGTCTTAGGATGATGCAAGTAGAAACGCCGCCCCTATTTGGGGCTCGGAACCATAACTGTGAAGTTTTTCATTTTGACAACATTCTGGTCCTGGTTAATGTCAGCAAAAACAAATGTTAACAGAAACGGCTGAACATGTGAAACTGCAACAAACTGTTAGCACAAGGGAGTTATATGTCTTTCCACTCAAAAAAGTGGAGGAAAGGGGTTTCTCCAGTAGACACTGAAGTGATTTTTGTGAGCCTGTTTTAAAATTAATTGTTAACGAAAGATTTCAGTTACCACTGCAGATCTATTCTGAGAGGATTGACTAGATCTCATCGGTGTTGGCAGAATACAATCTGTGTCTAGGCTGGGTCCTCCGCCAAGACTGATACAGGACTCTGAAGATGGATTGGCACTGAAAGCACATAGGGCTGGAGAGCTGTCTAGGGAGAGGGATACTTTCAGGCGTTCAGCGAGGAGAGCCACGTTTTGTGAAAAACTGGCTGATTGAGGGGAAGCTAGGCCACGTTTTTTTTTGGACCTCTGACAGATAAAT